AATAGTGGGAAAATATTTTCAGTTTGGATGGCTAAACTTGAAATTTCACGAAAACTTCTAAAGAAAGGAAAATTCATTGTATTGTGTAGATACAGAAGGAAATCCAAATACCAAGATCAAAGGCTAAACCAACTTGGTTTATAGGATTTATCAGAATGATTGGGGTAGGGGGTTGGAGTCTGCCTCCAGAGCTAATCTTCATTTATTTTTGTCATACTGGGGTTGACTTCGTATATTGGAGAGCTCATTTCTTTCTAGAAATTAGGCACAGGAGTTTTGGTAGAGGGTGAATGAACACATATGGAGGAGTAAAATTATAAGCCCAAGTTATATAGAGAAATTAGTAATGAGAAAAGGATTTAAAAATTAGAAAAATAAAAAGCGGTATATGATAATACTTTGTGAAATGGTGTTGTGGACTGTTCCATAAGGCTTCTACCAAACAATTGCCAACCCTTCCAGAGATCTATGCTTGCCTTATCTCCATCTTTCTCATGAACACTTATAATTGAGATAGGAAGGACAAAAATATTGTCTCCATTTTGCTCTAAGGGGAAAAGTAATTTTTTTCTGTGCTTACTTAACAAGTGAGAGAGGGTTTCAGGTTTATGCTTCTTTCCTCATGCCTCTGAACTACTTCTGTAAAAGACTAAACCACATTAGAATCAGATGCCTGTTCTGGAGATAATCATGTTGGTTTCCTTGATCAAAACTCAGAACTGCACCAGACATTTTTTCCTGGCTACAAAATCTAAAATTGGATGTTTTTTCTGCTAACCTTATTGATTCATTGAAGATATTTAGTTGGAAAGAATCAAAGGAAAGTCTTTTTTTTCCCCTTATCTTTGAGAAGTTCTGACTTTTATCACTTCGTATTCAAGAGATCCTTCATTTTTCCTCCCAGAGCTTTGACACTTGATTCTTGTAGGAAAGTTATATCCCTCATATTGTCTAATCAATGATAAAAGGAAAAGCATCTAAGCACTACAGGTTATCTGTATTTCATTGGAAACTTAATGAACTTTAATGAAATTTCATGTAACTGAGTGTCCAGCCTAGAACTATGTCTCAATTATAATAAAAAATGGAAGGCGAACTTTCTTGTTGAATATGGAGGAAGAGTTTTAGTGAGTCCAGAGACTGGTAGAGCTCTTTTCCCTACCCCTTGCAGCAGAATAAAAGTGCTGATATTCAGTTTCATTGGGAGACTCTGGGAGGAGGTTTATCAGGGAATTTTTTGAAATGGGTGTTGAGATGGAAATATTGGAAGCTTTTTACATAAAATCAATATTGAGCACAGATTGTAATTATACATATTTTTTTTGTCCAGGTGGCCAGAAAAACTCATGGTGAATTTTAGGAACAATAACGCTTAACACCTATTTGGCATCTATGGTAAAAACATAAATGGAACTATTCAAAGTGTTACTATTAAAAAGTAATTGTGAGTATGAGTATATTAGCTCATTTTATGCCACAATAATCCTATGAGGAAAGACTATTATTATTACAACATTAAAGCAGAGGAGACTGAGGCACAGAAAAGTAAAAAACTTGCCTAAGATCAAATATGTAGTAATTAAGCTGAAATTGGAATTCAGGTAATCTTACTCTGGTCTTTGCTATCTAGGTCACAATGGGCACAAGTAAAGGTTACTTGGTAATCGTCAGATGATCTTCTGAGCCAATCAGAGGAAGTTCCACCCAGATAGTCAGAAGGAACAGTTGTCAATACAATCTACTTTTACTATTTCCCGCTGAGAAATAATTTTAGCTTTTGAATAAGCAAGCGTGTGTAAATGGATTATATGAAAAAACCCAAGAACAAACCAAAGATAAATAAATTTAAAGATAATGTTTTAAAGTATTTAAAGTTTACAAAAACCTTTCTTGTATTTTTATTTTTCCACATGAAACATATAGAATATATCAAAGAGGAAACAGAAGATCAGAGAGCTTCTGCAGTGTGTTTGAGCTCAACAAGCAGGAATTAGGGTTGCTGAGACTGGAGAGTGTAGGATTCTAGCTTCCATGCTCTTGAACCACACTATGTATCCATGGGGTTCTCTTAGAGCTAATGGGCCAATGTTGATGGAAAAAGTGGAAGTAAAACTGGAATCATTTCTAGCCTTTCCATGGCTGGTAAAAGAACAAATATAAAAATTGGTTTCATTGTTTTAAGCAAAGCCAGATGGTTCTTTTCCTTCATACCTGTTGACAATCTGATTTGAAAACATCTCTTTGACTCTTGCAAAGACCATCAAATTGTATTAAAGACAAAGAGTAGTCTCTTCTGTTCTCCTAATCCCACTTCTTGATGGCAGAACGTGGCTAGAGTCCAGAGGTACAGCAGTTGGATGATAAAAAGCTCAAATGCAGAGATTAGGATTCAGTTTCAAGGGCGTTTTGAGAGACTCTCGTCCTCCTGCATCTTCCTTCTAACCTCCACATGCCTGTATGTGTGACACAGTGATAATGACTGGTGATAAAGCAGAGGAGATGACAGAAAGACAAGACATGGAAAAATAGAGAAAGAACCGAGTAAGAGAAGGAAGGGTGGTTCAGGGATTGAAGCAACCATGAAACAAATTAGAAGAGGGAGAAATCCTGGAATATGAGAGTTAAAAGCACTCAGAGAACGTGTAAACTAGCTTCTTTTGGATGATGGTTGGTCTCTGATGAGTAACCTCTACTGATCCACTGCTCCTGGACTCAAAGTGACTCTTTCTTCCTATAATTGTGATAAAAGAGAGGAGAAAAAAAACCAGAAGTGTAGTACTTGGAATCAGAATTTATATCCTGCTCTACCAGAACTGAGTCTGCCTTTTCCATCACTTAATCCACCTGACCCACAGTGACCTCAACTATAAAATGAGCAGCCTTATTTCCTTCAAAGGTTTGCTATGAGGCAACACAAATATTATTATAATCTAATGAACAGTAGGCTTCCAAAGCTCACTCCATCCTCTTTGGCCTCAAAGTGCACCTGCCTTTGAAAGGTCTGTGTTACTTTAACAGAAAGTTAATTAGGTCCTCACCCTCCCTCTGGATATTTGCCCAAGTTAGAAGTGCAGCTCAGCACACCAGCTCCATCATCCATATTAAAAGTGGGATTTTCTGACTTGGTGTGGGCAGCCAGCTGACCAATAGGTTCCAATGTGTGTTTTCAATAAAGCTGCTTACCCAGGAAGCCTTATTAAGTGAGTAAGTCAAGCTGACATGATTTCCGTGCTGATTAACATGAAGTCTAGGCTGTTTTTGCAATGCAGTAGCATTAATTATTTATAGGAGGTAAATGAGGTTACAAGGAAAACAAGCTCAGATTACCAGAAACAAATCAAATAATATATTTATATATTTAAAAGCCATGTACTAATCCCTGCATTCATTGATTTTAGGCTCAAGTGTCAAGGATTTAAAAAAAGCATCTATCATGTTTTCCCCTTTTTGATAGACACCGGTGATGGAAGGTTGGAAATTTCAAAGATTAGCTGGTAAACTTGGATGATCCAATAGAACTTATCAAATATTTTTATTTGGTAAAGTGTACATCTAAAAACTTTTCAACAAGTCTCAGAATAATTCTGTCTCCCAGAATTGATTTCAAAGTGCTTACTATGTCACTAGTATTTTCTGGTTTTCAAATTTCATAGAAAATTCTGATTAAACAGTGAATTGGTTAGTTTATTTCCACATCTGCCTGAATAGTCTGTACTTATGTCTACATTAACTAAGTTATGCTAAGTTCAGCATTTGTTCCAATGTTTTAAAGTTTAATGAAGGGTAATTTATAATAGCTTCACTAAAATAATCTGAATAGGCCTCACAGACTTCTGGTTGTAATTTTAACTTCTCCCATATTTTAGTATAAAATACATGTGCAATGAAAACAGTTCTCCATCAAGATGTGTATAGCCATGCAATGGAATAATATTCAACCACAAGAAAAGATGAAATGTTATCATTTACAGAAAAATGGTGGGGGATTGAAAGAATTATGTGTAAGAAAGAAAGTTAGAATGACAAAGACAAATATTGAACAGTTACAAAAGCAGATGATCCAAAAAGCAAAATACATATAAAATCTAGCAGACACTAATAAATGAAGGGAGGATATTGAAGTTAAGAAGGAGGGAAGAAAGATAAGGGGTTGAAGGGTAAATTGGATGATGGTAGGGAAAAAACAGAACCATACAGGATAGAAGTGATGACATTAACAATTCTTGAAGGAGTTTTTATATCTATGTACAAAAAACTAAAGGAAAACATGAGTAAAGTAAAGACACAGAAGCTACAAAAATCAAACTGAAACATACATAAAAAAGGAGCTTTAAAGCAGAGTAAGCAGCTACATACGTAAATAAGTTGTGAGAAAATTTCCAGTGGTCCAACATAGTATCCAAAAAAAAAAAAGTGAGATAGGAAAAAAAGCAAGAGTCCTCAATTTAAAAAAAGCGTGAACTTGAAAGGTCATCAGTGTCATCCTTGCCTCTTTTTCTGCTGCTTTCTAGACACTATTAACACCACAAACACCAGGCAGGCTCAAAATGCTTTTCTGGTGATGGTGAGAGTCGTATTCACGGTTGCATGATGTACCCACCAGTTGATCCACGGCTACTTCTTACGAGATCCTTGAAATCAATAATTGGCAGCACCTGTGGGAAACATGGATGGTCTGGGTCAGATGTATAGGATGTGAATCTTAATAGGCTATCCTTTGTAGAACACACCCTGCATTTTTCATTGATTTTATGGTGTCAATATACAAGTTACTCATTTTGTTGACTGATCTACTTTTTAGTCCTGCAATAATTATAATTTCACGTAGGTATTATATAGTAAAACCTTGTATTATTTAGGATGCAAACGAGGTAATTATATTTTGAATCCCAATGCAATGCTGTGTTCTCTATCCAAGCTGTAAAAAAAACATTAATTTTAGACCAAGCCAAATATTCATAGGCACTCATCACTGCTCTTCCCTTTTCCAGAACCTGGAAATGACAAAGACTTACGTGAAATCCAAGGAGATGTCAGAACTGGTCAACACACCATCCTGGATGGACAAAGGTCTGAGTTCCCAGAATGAGATGAAGGAGGAAGAAAGGAGACCGGCTGCTTATGGGGTGCTTGGCAGCTTAGCTGAAGAGCATGACAGTATAGAGGAGGAAGATGAAGAGGAAGAGGATGGAGAGAGGCCCAAGAGAAGAGGCCCCAAGAAAAAGAAAATGACAAAAGCTCGCCTTGAAAGATTCAGGGCTCGAAGGGTCAAGGCCAATGCCAGAGAGCGGACTCGGATGCACGGTTTGAACGACGCCCTGGACAACCTGCGGAGGGTCATGCCATGCTACTCTAAGACCCAAAAGCTCTCTAAGATAGAGACGCTGAGACTGGCCAGAAACTATATTTGGGCTTTGTCGGAGGTCCTGGAAACTGGCCAGACCCCGGAAGGGAAGGGCTTCGTGGAGATGCTCTGTAAAGGGCTCTCTCAGCCCACAAGCAACCTGGTGGCTGGGTGCCTGCAGCTGGGCCCTCAGGCGGTGTTTCTGGAGAAGCACGAGGAGAAATCCATCTGTGACTCTGCCGTCTCTGTCCATAGCTTCAACTATCAGTCTCCCGGGCTGCCCAGCCCTCCATATGGCCATATGGAAACACATCTTATTAATCTCAAGCCCCCAGTATTCAAGAGCTTGGGAGAACCAGCCTTTGGGAGCCATCCACCTGACTGCAGTACCCCACCTTATGAGGGGCCACTGACTCCACCCCTGAGTATCAGTGGGAACTTTTCCTTGAAGCAAGATGGCTCACCCGAGCTGGATAAATCATATGGCTTCATACCACACTATCCTACTGCAAGTCTAAGCTCAGGACACATACACTCAGCTCCCTTTCAGGCGGGTACTCCCCGTTATGACGTCCCCATTGATATGTCCTATGATTCCTACCCCCACCCTGGCATCGGGGCCCAACTCAATACAATCTTCACTGATTAGGGCAGTAAGTATCAGCATTTCAGAGATGATCTGGGGTTGTTTTCCATAGTTCAAGTGATTGAGCTGGAGATTAAATGACCATAAGTGGCCCTTATGGATACACATCAAATACAATAGTTCTCCTACATCTACTATCCTATCCTCTTTTCTCACCAACCTCTCAAGTTGTATTGATTCCTTTATTTAGGGTCCTCAAGTTTGATTGTTTACAGTCATGTGTAAATAGAATAGAAGCCCTGGGTCCTATTCTGGTGGTGCCAAAACTCATTGAATGAACGATGCCAATTAATTTTCCATTTATAGCCTCTGTTTAATGACAAAATGAGGCAGTTGTTCTAAGTTTAGAAGATTTCAAAATGCCCTCACAGTTTTAAAATTCTGTGGCATTAGAGATCACTCCTAAAAATATCTTGAAACAGAAAGAATTGAACAATAGGAGGAAATGGACACCATGTACAGAATGATGAAATGGCAAAGGAGTACAAGGTACATAGCTCTAGGCTCATGGAGTGCAAAGTTTGTTTGGACTCACTGATAGGACTTCTTTGCATCTATCTACAAATAGCCTCCAGAGACTGAAATTCTAACTTTGCTGTCACTGTGAATAACAAAGCATGTTGTTTAAGAGATTTCTATTTCTTGTTGGGCTGGTGGTGACTACATCTTCCTTAGAGTTGAAGAACCATAAGAGAGATCTCATACCAATTTGATCTTGAGAGCATTTCAGTATTCGAAGTGAGACACACAAGTCATCAAAACTTCAGACTCCTGTCACCAATGAGACTTAGAAAAGTCATCTAGACCATTTCATGTCCTCCACAACTAGAGGACTTGGAATTTCTGATGAAGTTCAGGCGCTACTGCTGGAATCAGCAAATAACCCAGGTCACGTTCAACAGCAATAACACGGTTACAGGCTACATAACTATGGTTCAGGGACTCTCTGGAGCTCATAGCTGCCCATAGGAAATCCTTGAGATTATCTTTGGCAAGATAAATTTTACTTGGTTAAAATAATCATGGTTAAAGCCACTAACCTAGGTTCATACAGTTATATTTCCTAGAAGCACAAGAACCAATCAATTTATTGATCAAGCTTGAATTTTTCCAACATATATCAAATCCCTTATTTCCCTTACCACTAATTGTTTTCTCTTCCTCTCATCTAAAATTTAACATTAGAGATATGTAAAGGAAATTCAAGGTCAGTGAATGCTTCTCCAAGCTGTATCTTCATCATAGATTCATCCTGATTTGTAGGATATTTATTTTTTTGATGTAAGTCCTCTTAAATATCACCATTAATTTGTCAAATTAATCTTTTCCCAGAGAAATGGGATCTGAGATACTACACTATCCTCTTTTTTTTATGTCAGGACAAATATTTAAATCAAGTCAAAAGACTAGGTGGTTTTCATGATCGTTATCACATCCCCCTCCTGCTGAATGCAGTTTAGTATGCAAGACACACAAATAGGGTCAGAGAATCACACTGATAAGCCAGATTAGGGTCCTGTTTTCCACAGTTCAACTATCCCCTAAAACTTGTCAAAACTATCTGTGAGTCTTGACATTCCAGCCTCTTATTTAGTATCTCCTTGCAGGTTAGTTACTTTCTTTCCATTTGCTTACAGCACTAGCCCTGTTGTATTTTGGTTTGCACATCCATTTGACAGCATCCTTGCAGGGAGATCTTAAAGCCAACCAGCCACCCATTTGCCCTTGAGGGAATAGGCGAGTCAGGCGATTTATTAAGCCATCTTATGAGCTCTCTGAGTCTTACTGGCACTGACCTTCATGAGAGACAATATAGGGATCTATTCTTGAAAGATGGCATTTCCTGGCTTTTAATTTTGTAGATAATGAATGTTGGAGTTATTTATTAGATAATATTTATTTAATTTATTTTGCCTTTCCTTTGATATAAATTCCTTGGATTCTATACATGTGTTTGCAACCCTTCCCTGGGGTTTTAATTAGAAAATAGCTCTTTTTTTTTTTTTTTAAGGAATTTCTGTGTTTTAGGGTGAAGGGATCGGAGAAAGTTAGTGCAGAAGTACTTGTAATGATTTTATAAAAAACAGCAATAATGTGAATCACTATGCAAGTTGCTATTTATAGATTTTTTTTCCTTCATTCTAAGAGACAAGCCATTATTTTTAGATTTTTATGTCTTGGGGGGCATAACGGTGCCCAAGAAGCAGCCTCCCTGGGATTGGGCAGGAGGACTCATAATAGAATTAAAATTTGGGAGAGCAGGGTGGTCTCGTTCTTCTGGGGACTTTATCAAATAAAGCAAAGCAATTGTTCAAAATTTTTGTAAAAATATACTGTTTTACTTCCCTGTTTTCTAGCAGAAATAAAGCTGTGAGTCTTATTAGACATTGTGTTATATTGTCAGTCTCTAGTTTTTCCTCTCGCTTCTACTCATTTTATTGAACTCTAAGTTCTATATTTATCTGTACTTATTTCTATTATTACTTCCTCCTTTATATTTAACTGTCAACTCCATCTTTTACAGTTTGGGGGATCATGATAACAGAACCTAGAAGTAAACTAACTGTTTCCACCTATGTCTCTTATACTGGTTTATAAGCGCCTGGCAAGGCTATTTTATTTTATTTTATTTTATTTATTTTACTTTATTTTCTACCATTTGCAAGACTATTTTATCCACTTGGTATATTAACAGCTCCCAGTGCAGTCTCTCCCATCTAGAAGGAGGAGATCAAGCAAATTGTTTTTGAGTAGGAGCAAGGCTTCTTTGTGCTGGGAATAGTGGTGTTAACTTTATATTCCCACAACACTTTGGGAGAAAAATGTTTTCTTTTTCTGTTTTACAGTGACCACAAGGAGGTTCAAATAATGTCCAAGCCTACTCACCTCCTAAGAAGGAGTGAGGATTCTTATCTAAGGTAGTCTTTGTATCAACGTGATTTTTGCACTAATATTTATAGGAAAGAAAATGACTGTAAACACTTCATGATTTTTGTCTTCCCAACTCTACTGTAAAATAGAAGAAATAACTTTTATAAAAATTAAATATTTGGACAAAACTAGAGTACCAGTTGAAATGAGGTGGAATAAAACACAGAAAAAAGTTTGAAAGACTGAGTTATAAAGCTGAGTGAGAGGGCCTCCCTGGTGGTGCAGCGGTTGAGGGCTGGGTTGCGAAGCTGCCCGCGGCCTCTGCGGCGCCGGTTCGATCCCCGGCTGCTCCCCGGCCACTGGAGGAGGGTCCCACATGGCGCGCAGACCTCTCCTGCCGCCCGCTGCTCCCCTCAGCAGTGTCCTTCGGTCCTTCTGCCTGCTCTGCTCCCCGCTCTGGCTCTGGTGAATTCTCTCACCCTCCCGCGCTTCTGACTGTCCCCAGTGCATGTATAAATAAATAAATAAATCTTAAAAAAAAAAAAAAAAAGGCTGAGTGAGTCTGAGGGGCAGGGAGAGAAGTCCACAGGAGCAGAAGAAGGCAAGATAGAGGGGGTGTCCCACCTTCCAATGCTTGCTGGGCACCCACAGGGCTCCTCTGCAAGGCTCGTGTGACACTGTGGTCAAAAAGAGAAATAAAAGGGGTGTGGATGCAACTTCTTGTAGGGGCCATCTCAACATCTGACTGACTGACCCCGAGGTTCTGGGGACTCCAGGGCAGTGGGGGCAAAGTGGGGGCAAAGTGGGGTCCACCACAGGAAATAGGTGCTGTTCCCTGCCGTGCCTCAGATAGGAGCTCTGGGCCTGAGTCCACTGCATAAAAGGTTGGGGACCCCAAGCTGTCCAGCGAGCCCCCTGGAGCAGAGCCTGGTCGTCTGTCTTCAGAGCAGCAGAAGTGTCACGCCAGAAATCACTCTGGAGAACAAGAACCACCGGTCTCCTGGTTCTCCCTGGAAGATTAATCGCACAGGACTCGTGCTTGGCCACTGGATAGATCTTTAATGACAAGGTGGATTTAGCAGTAAACAAAAAATTGTTGATGGATGTCGGTAAATCATTTTTCTAGTTCACACAGCCACTGTGTTCTCGGGCTGTGCTTGAAGCTGGCGTGCCTGACAAGCTGCGCCAATGCTGGGCTTGCCACCTGCTCCCACTGCCTCTGGCAAGTGTCAACTCCTAGGACTTCAAACTCTTCACTGCAAAACAATGGCCAATGAAGTCTTCAGGGATTTTTGTGACATTAAATCTAGATAATCTAATACAGACGTCGTGAGGCCTGGCACACTCTTAGGGCCCAATAACTGATAGTCTTTGTTGTCATCACCATCCTCATCTTTCCCCCAGCGCAGGTGAGACCATCACACGGGGTAGTAGGAAGAGAGACCGAAGAAGAGGCAGGAAAACGAGACAAGGGTCCCTGGTGGCCTGGATGGTAACGAGAACCGTCGGAGAACGACTGGGTTGTGGTGGGGACAGTGTCACTCAGCTGGAGCAGAAGCATCAGGCACAGACAGGGGGCAGCTGACACTGTGCCCACGGTTGGCACAATCCAGCAGGATTCTCAGGGATACATGCAAAAAAAAAAAAATCAGTCCTGAGTGCGAGCAGTGCTGAGCCCTCTGCCCTGGCCCGGGAGCCGGGGCTGCTGTTCTCAGAAGCCTGGATTCCCAGGAAAGTGGGCATCACACAAGGCAAAGCGGGGGAGAGACGAATACGGGGCAGCACTCTGGTTCTCGGGGTGCGAGAAGTAAAGGAATGGCCTAGGAAGGAGCCGTGGGGGTGGCAGGGAGTGGGGTTCTCAAATGAGATGCTGCCCCCTGTGGAGAACAAGCTGAGCGGTCAGTAGAGAGAGTCCACTGGGGCCGAGCCCCTTGCAGCCTCTGTCCTGAGATGGCTGCGTAAACACTGGCAGAAAATAGCCGTAATAGCTGATGTTACTGACTGCTAAGCAGGTTCTACACCATGCTTGTAATTTTTGACATATGTGAAGTAATGTCATTTTTACCACAACTCACTGACGTCAGCGCCAGTATTGCCATTTTACATGTAGAAATCTGGGGCACAGCGGGGTAAAGTTGCTCTTCCCAGACACGT